CTGATTTGCTAATAAATGGAGAGCAAAGAGAAAAAATATATATACATATATTGTTAAAAAAGTGTTTATGTACTTAGGTGCAAGTTATTTCTCCCCCTTTTTTTTCTTTCGTCCTCAGAATTGTTGTAGCTATGGCTGCATCTTATGTATATATTTGTATTTACTTATTTATTCTATTGCTTTTTTAAATGTAATTGGTCTCTGTTAACAGATCGAAACTATTCTATTGGCTATCTATTTTTGTATCTCTCTGATTGAATAGCATCAATAAAAAAAAAAAGAGTTAAACTAGTATATTAAAATAGGAAACCAATATTACAAATTGCAATAATATTTCACAATATTACAGTTTTGTTTTTCTGTATTTTTTTATCAAATAAATACAGCCTTGATGAGCATAAGAGACTCCATTAAAAATCTTACTAATCCCAAATTTTTTGAATGGCCACGTACGCTGTTGAGAGCCTAGAGCCAGTGTGAAAACTGTGATTTTAAAAGAGTTTATCTTGTAAAAGTCCACAGAAGCAAAAGTGCTCATATCTGAAGAAACCTTAGGTTAATCTCAGAGGTTACTTCAAGTAAATATTTTAAGTCGTAGAGGTTTGTCTGGGTGAAAAAATGACTTGCTAAATCTGAGAGAGCGCTTATTGAATTGCCATCTGACTCTTGTAATGACTGGGTGTTTATGTCAGCTTGTAGTAGTTAAGATGCTCATTTACGACAGAAGTTTTGTTGTAATAGTGTATTAAAAAATGTGCATGTCCATAGAATATATGTGTGAGTATATGAAACTCAGTGTCTTGATGTAGAGGCCTGATAGTGCTTGCGTTTCATTTAAGACGAAGTCTCTGTGAATGAAGTTGTGACCTTGGATCCTCTTTGCTGTTTGGACTGTTTCTACACGCCAGCCAACGATCTGAGGGGGACTGTGCGCGCTCAAGCATGAGCCGTAGAAGTCAGAGGTCGTGGGGCCCTTATTGTTGGAGCATTAGACTGCGGGGGGAAGCAATACTACAGAGCCTTGGACTTTGTGGAAAAGATATTAACACCTAGCACCTAGAGTCAGGAAGGGAAACGAAGAGAACAAAGGAATTCTGCAGAGAAGGGCTAATTCACCGTGAGGCAGCTGTGCTCTCTCATTACAGGAATTCACAAAATGCCTCACCTTAATGATGTCAATGCAAATCCTTTTACAGAAACCCAAGTATGTGAAAAAGCACAGAGATGCATTGTTCTTAGATCTTAGTGATATCTGATCATAGGAGCTATAAAATAAATATAAAAAGGTATAAAATATCCTTGCTTTCATCCGTCATGATGAATCTGCATCGTGATATCGCTGATGTGATGTCTGGAATACCCGCAGGATAATCCATGCATTCATATTTTAACATTGTAATTGAAATCAAACAGATGAAATGCTTAAGCTCAAATACTTGTTTGTCTTTGCTCAGGTAAGTTCGAGGAGAAGGAGGACCGTGTGCCCAAACTGGAGCAGCTGAACACTCTGGGCTTCATGTGCACTCTGAACCTCACCCTCAACAAGCGTGACCTCATCAAGATGGAGCTGCTGCTGCTGGAGACGTTCGGCTGGAACCTGTGCATGCCCACACCTGCCCACTTCATCGACTACTACCTCCAATCTTTCACAGTGTCTACACTTTGTGTGTTAAAATGAGAGGATTTGTGAGCACGCGATTTCAGCACTGCTGTGAGTAGATTCTAACTTAATCGCCTCTGATTGGCCATTGCGTTCCAGAAATCAACAAATGAGTCAGTGATTGGCTACATTGCACAACCCTTTAAACACGTGTTATAAATAGAAACTATGCCTAGCTTGCGCATGTCAATCATTTTAATGTTA